CAATTAGATCGTCCAGCATTACAAATTCATGCTTTTCATAATCTTCGTTGCAAGTTTCACTCTACCTTTTTCCTACCCTAATCTCAATCCTGAATCAGGATGAAACTTGCAACGGAGATTATGAAAAGTGTGTATTTGTAATGCTGATCGCGATCTGATTGGTTGATTCCAGGTCAATTGACTGCAGCGTCTATTCTTTACTTATTGCCTTATTCGGTTCATTCACTCTACGCTTCTATGTGTGTGTGGCAAATCATGAACAGACAGTAGTAACAGGTCAAATGTCTGAATAAAAAAATAATTCAAAATGGATTAACGAAGGCGCTTTCATCCTTAAGGGGTATTCAATTGCCTTCTTTCTTTCTTTTTTTTTACTTATTCAATGTCCAGCATAGCGACTTTAGTCGAACAAAATAGAGATTAGTCAGCAGTTTAGTTTCAATTTTTATTTCCTTTGACGTAGTTCAATTTTGCTCATTTATCATTTGTTTATTTTTGACAAGTTTCCGCACTTACTCGCATAAATTCGTACAACCGTCTAAATTTTTCATGACGCTTGTGGTATAGATATTCAAGTGCAATAATTGTTGTGTGTTTGTCAGACTAATTGCCTTATCATAATTACTGAGAAAATTAACTATTTTTGTGCAGCTGTGGATTAAAAACATAGTAATAACAAACTAGGCAAGACGATTGGATAAGAAAGGTAATAGGATAATCATTATCAAGGGGACAGACTTTTTATGACAGCCATAGTAGGGACAACGGTTGCACGGATGGACGTATTTCTTCTTTTAAATACACAGGGGTTGGCTTGAGCTTTTGGATCGCTAGTGCCTCAGCTATTACCAACCAGATGTCTTGATTTCACTCCATTTAAGAAGTCTGAGCGAATCTTCTATGTGACTTTGAGGGACTTTTCATCAAATGGAGTTGGATTTCCTGAATTGACCAGATGTTCTGTTACTGCATTATATACCCGCTTGCGTGTTCTCCCTTTGCTAATAATCATTGGACTGTGCTCCCGAGCACTTTTTACAAGTGTACACATTGTACGGCCAATGTATTCAGCTTCACAGTAAAGAGTAGATGAACTGGTATATGCATGTTTAAATGACCCAATGAGATATTCATATCTGCATTATTATGTTGTTATCCGAACTTCCTGCCTATTTTGTTATTACTACGTTTTCAATCCACAGTTGCACAAAAATAGTCAATTTTCTCAGTAATTATGATCCGACTATTTTTGTTTTTTTAAAATCCGATTTTCCTGTTTATTAAACTTTATGATTTTATTAATTTGTCTCATGACTGGAAATAATTCTAGAACTTTCTTATCTATTTACTATAAATACACACAAATGTACAGTCTAGTTGACGGCGATTTCGTCGACAAAAAGAAAATTTTATTCACTGTGACTGTCTTTTTAAAGCATTAATTGCTTCACTATACTTAGTATTGTTTTTCTAGACAAGAGGATTCGCCTGTGGTGAACTAACCATTAATAAGTTACCATAGATATGAAACGTGCAACTAGGGAGGTAGATATGGCTTATATTCGCATATATTGATTTTGCGAACATGTTCTACCTTCTCTATGTTTCACTCTCCCAACTAGCCTTATCTTATTTCTGTATATCTGTTGTTCGCATTCGTTCTTATCTTTCTGCTATTGTTCTTTGTATTAAATTTCCTTTATTTACTCACTTGAAAAATTTTGCAGATTGCGCAAAAGACCTCTTTGTAACGTAGTTTCCCTAATTTGTTTTTTATACTTTATTTTTACGAGTTGATCACGGATTGATATCAGTTAGAGAACTATTGAAAACCAGGGAGTACTGGACAGCTGTTTCATCCTAGTTTGGGGATCATCGGCAGTACGCACTCACTGGGGTTCGAACCCAGGACCTTCCGGTTACAAGGGAAGCTAGCTCGTATACCATTCAGCCACTCGGACTCGATTCAATGGCTCATGGATGAAGCAGTTGTCCAGTAATCCCTGGTTTTCAATGGTTCTCTAACTGATATCAATCCGTAATCAACTCGTAAAAGCTTAGTTATCTGAAGTGATGTCCACTGTCCCTGTTTCTGTTTAATTTCATTACAGATGTACTAATGGAAGTAACCCTAACTGACTTCAGCGACTCAGGGATTGACTTATTAGTGCCAGTTGACTTAGAATATACGAAGGATGATATAGTCCTCTCTCCGAAGTGAAGACGTTGACAGAGTCTTGTAAACACCTTGATAAGAAAGCAATCTTCGAATGTTTGTCATGTGATTCACTTCTGTCAAATGTAATATTGTGAGGTTAGGGGACTGGAATACATCGACCCCGAGCTAGAAGTTTGGGAATAAAGTAGTAGAGCTTGTTGACCACTTCAATTATTTCGGTGGGAAGTTGCATCAGCTGGTCCCAGCAGGTTGATCGCTGATGAAATCTCAGCACGGATACAGAATCTTCGTTTGGCACTTACCAGCTTATGCCATCTCTGGCTTAGTAGACGTGATATCCTGCCGGCCAGTTATTGATTAAGGTTGGAGGTTGGAAAAAAGGTAGCGTAGGTGGTCAAATCGAAAGTTGGAGTCAGTCCATGAAATCCTTGATAGTTAGTTTGATCGACGTAGGGAGGTGTAGACTACTTGGCTGGTTGGGGTCTTCGGGATGACGATAGGAGCCAATGAAGGCTAGAGACAGACGATCGGTGATATGGCTGTAAGTCGTTCTCAGTGATCGCTGGCGCAGACGCATTAACTTTTTGTGGATAAGATTTCATTTTGATAAATCACACGATATTGTACAATAATATGTACGAATGACGTTTCGAGCACAAGTTATGTGTAGTAGATTCTGATCTAGTATAATTATCATAATAGTATTATTGTCCGCTTGTATTCTGAGTGGAGCCTAGGACTTCAACAACATGTCTCTACGTTGCCTGTTTCCTGCTGTCCTGTTAAGTGGAGGTGACGATTACCCGTAGTCTCATATCCCCTCCTCGCACAATCTTCCCCATGTCACTCTTGGACGACCTGCCCGTCATCTCTTATTTTTGTGCCACTCGAGCATTTGGTACGCGATGCTATTCAGTATGAAGCCAATGCAGACAACTGTAGGTAATAGCTTCCAACTTTTTGGAAATGCTTTTCGTGATGCGTTTGGCCAAGTTTCTGACTCATATAGAAGAACTGACCGACTTAACATCTTTGTTGAAAATTCGAATAATAATAATAGCTTTATTCCAAACAGTATTTGTGGTACAAGTATGGAATTTTCAGCGCGAACTGCAATATTGCATCTAATTACCTCATAAATTTTATAAGATTTTAAAAATAAAAAGCAACAACAACAAAAAGAAAAAAGATAAATAAAAGAAATAAAAAAGAACAGCATTGCATTCACATATTTAAACAATGCACCACAGGATATGAAATATAAAATTAGTGTGTAATAGAATATGTGACCAACAATATAATAGTAACAAAGAAAGGAGAACAAGAGCTAATGGGAACTATTTGTTAGAGTGCCGCAGTTGAGTGTAGAAAATTTCTAAATTTGTCATAGTGATGAAAGAGTATTATGCCTTTGCTATACTTGTTTTGACATTCTCATCCTTGCCGAGTGCCTGCAGTTGAAAGGATGCTTTGTAGATAAATGAAGGAAGTGATCCCTTTCAAATTTCTTCCGTTGATAGTGATTGGTGCTTGTTGTTGTTGGTTTGTTATCTTCACCACCACCATCATCTCTATGTTCACCTGGAGTCCTGTCTTCACTGACTGCTTCTTCATCCAGTTTGTTGGTTTTCGCCTGTAAATCTTTGAGTTTGTGTGACATTGAGCATAAATCATTCGGGGCAAGGGGGGATGAGTCCAGATCTCCTAGTCTTCTTATCGGTGCAACACATTCCTTCTTTCTTACTCCCCACAGTCTGACGCATAATCCATTCCACCACAATTAGGAGTATCACTGCACTTCTTAAAAGCCATATATATATATATATATATACGATTGTACAGCATAATAATAAATTCGTTGAAAAGAGTCTCTTCGCGGAATCACTTGTTTTGATTTTCATTGTACTGTACTATTACACTTTAGTGTGAATAATTTGCAGTTAGGTTACGCAATCCTCACTTCCGTCTACTTGCCTTCAGTCGTTGCATTCGGAGTTTTTAACGTCATAACGTAACCCATTATTAGATTATTTATAACTGTAGTAGTCTGTCTCATAATGAACAAGTACGTTGACAGCGCATTTCTTTTTCATGCCATGTATCTAATTGGAGTCTTTTCATTCAGGGTTAGGATCATACATTGTTTGTGATTATATTAGATGGTTGGAGGCAATCGGCAGGAAATCTTGGACCTAGGTTTCGTGCTAGTTGACACTCGTCAGCAAGGCGTATCTGCAACCTTGAAGGGACTGATGTCCCTTCTGAGATTCGAACCCGCGTCATCCAGCGCTGCAGTCAGCGACGTTACCACTGAGCTATTCGGGCTCTCGATTGACCATCTAATATCATCACAAACAATGTACACCGTGATGGCGGGCTACCTAGAATGGTGGCCACATTACAACCTGACTGATAGAATTCAGTCTGCACCAAAGAGAGGACTAGGCGCATCACACTAGTTACTAGTGTCAAATCAAAAGAATTAGGATCATACATATAGAATTTATTTTTTGTCAAAGTATACAGCGACAACTGATTGACAGACAGACTCGCAAAAAGCAGTTAGAAAACTACTCACATTTTTTTAAAATTGATACTGTTTCAGATTGTACCGTTTGCTAACTAGTTTGCTTCTTTTAGCATCCTTCTTGTTGTCCACTCATTCACTTTAGTATATCAAAGTAACAAGTTTCACGTTCTCCTATTCAGCGGAACTGTGACATTATTGGTGCATAGTTGGTTATTGATAATTACTCATGCAGTTAAATGATGTCACTTGTTTCTATTTTTGTATTTTTAATTGTCTTTATGTTGTATACAGGTTGCAGAACGTGCCCTGTACTTTTGGAGTAATGACTACATCCTTCAACTGATGCATGATCATGTTGAAGAAATTTTACCAATTATGTTTCCTGCTTTATATCGAACAAAAGAGCACTGGAATAAGTAAGTTCTAATCCTCTTTTATTGTTTTCTTATTTTTTCATCTATACTGCCTATACTTAAACAGTTTTGTGAAACATATTTCAAGATATGATAAACGTTCAGTGTAAAGTTCATTAGCAGCCTGTTGTTTGTATGAAAAGCAATTTACTGTGTTAATATTTTTATTATTGTTCCCTTGGGTTCCTAGTGGAACATAGGCCTTCAACTGCTCGAGCGCGATGTCACCCAGCGGCCTCCTCAGCGAATGTCTAATCCATCTCCACTTTCTCCTGCATATTTGTAGGGCGATTGGTTCTTGTTTTGTTTGTTGGTGATTCTTTCCGGCCATCTGATCTTCAGTATAGAACGAAGACAGCTGTTGATAAAGGTCTGCAACAGGCTGTTGGAAATATTCTTGGTGACCCGCCAAGTTTATGATCCGTATAGCAAAACTGACTTGACGTCTTTTGTATTGAAAATCCGAATTTTGTTGTTGATGCTGAGTTGAGTGACGAAGATTTCCAGATTGGTTTCAGGTTGATGAATGTGTTTCTCGCCTTCCCGATTCTCGATTTGACATCGTCGTCCGTTCCTCCTGTGGTTGAGACAATGCTCCCTAGATAAGCGAAAGAAGTAACCTCTTTCAAATCCCTCCCGTTGATGGTGATTGGCGCTGGATGTTGCTGCTGCTGTTGGTGGTGGTGGTGGTTATTTTCATAACCTCCGTCTTGTCTATGTTCACCTGGAGTCCTGTCTTTGCTGCTTCTTTTACCAGTTTACTGTGTGAATATGCTTCAGTTAAATGACATATTAGCGAACCTTTCATCATTAATCAATGTTAACATGAGTTCAATTGAGGACGAAATAGTACCACTGGGCGCATTGATTGACTCTCTCCTCCCTTTTGAAGAAGCTGTATAAGATTGTCGGTGACTTATACAATGTGATATGGTTAGTATTCAAACAGAGGTAGTTAAATCAACTGTGTTTAGTGATTTCTAGATTTTGTCAGAAGTGAATATTAGATTAGGTGAAATTTCCCTCAAAGCGTATTATCAGTATGCGTGTATTGCTAAAAATAGATCGTTCTGGATTCAAAGTTTGTTCTTGGATGAAGCTATTGATGCATGTAAGGTTAAATAGTTCAAAATGCAGATGTTTTGTGTGGGGATTTCTTTGGGGGGGGGGAATGTTGATTCCTGATGTAAAAAATTCTCGAAAGTTAATTCATTAAGGCGTCGGTGGCATAGCGGTTAGGACGCCCGCCGACCATGCACATGGTCCGGGGTTCGATCACCGGCCGACGCACTCCTTTACCTCGCTAAGCCAGAAATAATGCTGGTGAAGAGAAAAGGTTGGGCATGAGGCTAGCAACCCCACCCTGTAAAATAAACACTGCTACAGAAACTTCAATCCTGTAGCTTGAAGCCCTATGTTCCACTGGGGAACGTGAAGGAAAAAAAGATTCATTGAAGATTCTCATTAGGACATAGAGAAAATCAAAACAAGTAACTCAACGAGGAAACTATTTTCAATAACGCATTTATTATCACACTGTATATCCGGTGAGGGAATTGAATCATAGGTGTGAATATTATAAACTGATAATAGTAATATGAAATGCAATTAGCATGTTTGTAATTAAATGTGAAGTGGCAAAACAATTAATATCATCTATAGAACAATTCATGGGATGCATAGAACTTGAAAGGAGTGTGAAATTATAGTATTAGTATACAAATAAAATTTTTAATTTTTATTTCTTATTCGTTACGCTCCCAGTGGAACATAAGGCTTCAAGCTAGAGCTTCGAGGTGTCGATAGCAGTGGTGTTTATATTTACGGGATGGGGTTGCTAGCCACATGTCCAACCTTCCCTCTTTATCACTCTTATTATTGGCTTAGAGATGTAAAGGAGAGTGTGTTGGTGGCCGGGGATCGAACCCCAGACCACTTACATGATTGGTGAACATTCTACCGCTTTGCCACTGACGCACTTGCAAATAAAATAGGAAAATAAAAACGTTATACAACACTGTGTGAATTTTGATAACAGAATTTGACGTTGCAAAACGTAGTCGATTTAAAATGTCAAATGAGATGAGTGAAGTGATACCGGGGACAATTCAAAATGAGAATAGTGTTTGTAACAATTGACGTAATGAAGGAAGAAAGTATACAAAGTGAATAAACAATACAAATATTAAGTCGAGCCAAAATATGGTTAGGGATTATCATACTTTAGAACAGATGGATTAAAACCGTGAAAGTTGGAGGGGTTGAACGAACGCTATCTGTATACAGAGATTCAACTTCTCTATTTCGATGGCCAGACCTGTTTCAGCAATACAGATGAGTCCAGTACATAGTGATTTAAACAAATTACTTTTCGCCTTGTAAATGACTTTAAAGGTGTAGGCTCTACAGGTAGGGTGGTCATTATCGACCAGATGTTCAATAATCGCGCTTCTTATTACTCCACTTCCACCTCTTCTCTTAACCAGACAGGATAGTTTTCTTGCACCCTGTTAGACAAGACCCAAATTGAACAACCAATGAGTTATTCTATGTACGACATTAATTGTTTTGCCACTTCACATTTAACTATGATTTTATAGTCACAGACATTTTAATTGCATTTCATACTACTATTATTATTAGTTTATGTATTCACCCCTATGACTCAATTCTCTCACCGGATATAATTTGTTATGATTGTAGAGCTTGATAATATATTCGTTATTGAAAATAGTCTCCCGGTTGAATCACTTGTTTTGATTTTCTAATATGAAACTTAACGGATAATTTTTTTTCTTTCTTCTCCTCTCCTCTAAGACCTCTGAAACAAACAATTGCAAAATTTATGTGGCTATTTCATTTTACTGTCCCCTGTCTATTTTCGCTTTTTATTTTGATTAATCGTCATGTTATACTCCACATTGCTTAAGTCTAATAAACTACCACAAAACTTTCATATTTTGACAAGTAGATGATAGTGTCCGAAGTTGTTGTCTGTTTGCGCTTTCTTCTTCTCTGCTATAGATGTGCTATAATGCAACGTACTGTTGTATATAAATAAGATTTATCCCTTTTTTATATTCTCCAGTGAATTACGGAACTATTTTGCATTTCGTCTGTTTTTTTAATGTATACATTTATCTACCTAACACTTAAATATGCAGTTGACTCCATTTTGATTAACCGCAAGACAGACTAAGGGGAAATTCGTTATGGTTTGCCTCCTGTATTTTATATGTTTTCCTTGACTTGACAGTTGGGAATAACGTATCAGCTACTTCGCAAGATAAATGTTCACATGCTGACACACGCGCCCACACACACGCACATAGCATGTCATTTAGAATAAAAAAACCCAAAGCAGTACGGAAGGCATTTTCATTTGATGAGTTAAGTATTGCATAAGTATTTCTTAAGATTATTTTATTATTTTCTATCATAGTATAGAAATTATTAGCCCAGTTAAAGTATCATGACTGATTAGCTGATTGACTAGTTTCAACATAGAACTACTTTCCACAGATGTGCACAAGTTCAACTTGACAGACTCCTTCAGTGTAGCACATAAAGCAAGAGAAGAGAATAAAGTGAGATTCAAAAGACTCATAATAGACACAAGTGTGAGTGACGGAAAATGGCTGGTAGTAATATGCAAGAAGAACAATAGAGTTCTATTGGATATGACAAATCATCTCAGGAAGAGTGAATGCATCTGCGCCAGCCATCATTAAGAACGATTTTTAGCCATATTACCCAGATGATGCTAAACGACTGGACTATTTAGACTTCGAGCTTAAAAATACAGAGTGAAGTGGTAGGGAGTGTTGACTGACGACTTCACTTATTTTTGGGAAGTTGTATCGATCCCAACGGGTAGGCGGTTGACGAAATCTTAGCTAGGATACAGCGGGCTCAACTTACGCCATCTCTGACTTAGTAGATATAATGTCTGGTCGGCTGTCGAGCACTGTACTGCACAGCAACAATTGTCTCTGTCCTCCTTTATGTCCGTCAGCGAGATATGGTCATTCAGGGTGGAAGATATAAAAAGGCCTTATTTAGATGAATTAGGGCTCTAACACGTGTTATGCATGCATCCTTAGCCATCGATTGCTTTCATCGACCAACAGTCAATATTTGCTGATATCGGATCGATGAAGTTGGAAAAGAGTTGGCGTCTGTGGTCAAACCGAAATCAACATGGCTTCATCAATCAGTCAGTGAATTGTGTAACAGTTATTTTGAGCCCACTAGTCACTTAGGAAGGTGTACCGTGATGGTGAACTACCTAGAATGGTGGCCACATTGCAAATACCTGACTGATAGAATTCAGTCTACACCAAAGAAAGGACTAGAGACGTCACACTAGTTACTAGTGTCCAATCAAAATACCCACTACAGTCCTACAGGAGGTCAATCGCGAGCCTGAATAGCTCAGTGGTAACGTCTCTGACTGCAGCCCTGGTGACGCGGGTTCGAATCTCAGAAGAAACATCAGTTCCTTCAAGGTTGCAGATTCGCCTTGCTAACGAGTGCCAACTAGCACGAAACCTAGGTCCAAGGCTTCCTGCCAATTGCCTCCAACTACCAAATATCATCAAAGGTGTAGACTTGTTTGCTGGTTGGATTCCTCGGGATGGTAAGAACAAATGTTTGGAGACTGTGATATGGCTGGAAATCGTTTTCAGTGATGGCTGGCGCAGATGCATTTACTCTTTGTGAAATGATTTGTCATATCGAATAAAAGTCGATGGTTCTTCTTACATATTAGTGACTCACACTTGTGTTTAATTATCACTTTTGTTGGATCTCTCTTTATGCTCTTCTGTTCCTTTGTGTTGATACATGGCGGGAGAGTGATAAATTGAACTGTTGTACATTTGTGCAAAGTTGTATGTTGATACGAGTCAGTCAGTTTCAACTTGCATTATGCTACTGAGGCTCAGGATAACCACGTTTTATCAAACAAATAATCAATGTGTGTCTTCTTCCTCTTCTTTTTGATTCTCCGGCTAAAGTAGTAGACCATCGAATTGATTTTTGATAAAATTCGTTTATCATTAATCTTCCTTCAGGACTGAGTTTTTATCAGTCTGTAAAAACATGTCAGTTGGTTGGTGATAACAGTTAATATTTTTTTCTTCTGAAAAACAATTAGCGGCTGTAATATACAAGTGTCTGATGTTATTTCCTTCTATTGGATGTATGCTTTTGATTCAAATCTCTTAGATAAACACTCATTCTTATTTGGGAATACATGTAAATTTCCTGACTTCATTCCCAGGCCGTTTGCAATAAGCCACCCTTGTTGTTTACAAGGGTTAATTGATATCACATGCCTCCCGGATACATTAAGGAGGTGGGGAATTTGGATGCAACAGGCGTCATTACTTCAACCGTGAATAGTCACTACCAGGGTAGCGTTCAACTGATTATTTTGAAATCAGACATAATTCGCCTGGATTTCATTTCTAATCTTAGGCATATAATAATGCTATCAAGATGCTGTCTACAGTAGTATAGCTATGTGTATTTTTGACGATGACTGTTATCGTCAATCTTACTTAATGATGTCTGATTACAAAACCTGTATTCAGTTTTCCCTCGACACTAAGCTTGGCTTACTGGGGGTGTTGGTGGTGAAGCTTTTACCATGATAAACCAGTTTTGCAGATTTGGCATATCAAGATTTTCAATGAATGGTGTCAGGGTCTTATCGTAGAAATTTGATTGTAATTAACTTGATTCTTCATGATGGACTTGTGTTATCAATGATATGCGTTAGATATTGCCGCTGAATTACCTGTTCTTCAGTTCTGTTTTATTGTGATATCACTCATCGGCGTAAACACTCGACTATAGCCAATAAGTTCCGGATCCCCAAATCCCTCTCCATCTGATTCAGCCTAAGACGACTGAGTAATATCACCAACCCCTCCCCCATACACATTCAATAAGTGTTACTTACGTGCTGGTACACATCAGTAAGGTTGGTTTGGTCTGTTTGTGGTCAGGTTCGCCTAGAATTCACTATGTCCTCCTACTAACCTCAGGATTTGTTCGTGTATTCGCCCCTGAAACCAATGAAATTCGCGCAAGCCAGCACTTAAATATTAATCTCACTAATGATTGGCCTTATTCAGGTGGTGGTTACCTAGGTTCTAGTGGGAATTGGTGACCAGTGACTGGTGGGGTTCTCCACCAGGTTGGGTGTGAGGACAATTACCCACTACCCGCGCTATATCGAGAATTGAGAAAAGTTGGAATTCATGGGTTTATCATTGGATCGTAATGGTTGGTCTACGAGCTCACCGTGTAACCGGAATGTCCTGGGTTCGAACCCTAGCAGTGGGTGCGTACTGATGAAGAATCCTGAGCACTTGAATGAAACTGCTATCCAGTACTCCCCGATGGTTTTCCAGTGGTTCTGTAACTGATGTCAATTCATGATGAAATCCGTACAAAGCAACACTTGAATGATCCCTGATTAATATTGGCCTCACATACCAGTGTTGTTGAATAGTTTTTTTTCCTTATCACTGTGGTCCGAATGAATTATCCCTTTGAATTGGTTGAATCTTTATTTTTTTATGTAGGTATATACTATCGTTATTATGATTTTGAGTGTATTTGTTCATTTATTTATTTTTGGAACGACTTGTTTTTTTTCAGAACTATTCACGGTCTTGTATACAATGCGCTGAAATTATTCATGGAAATGAATCAGAAGCTATTCGACACGTGTACACAACGATATAAAGAAGAAAGACTGAAGTTAGTTGGCGTCTCCTATATACGCGTTTTATTTAATTGTGTTTTCCTAGGAATTTTGTAACCCTTACACACTGTAATGCCTTGCGTTTCGATTCATTCTATCGATTTACTAATGTCAAAGTGGTTACGGACTTAATTAATGTCAAGCTTTTAAAAGCGGATGTCCTAACATTTCACAGTACCAGGTCACAATTTAAAGTAGTGAATTCCAGCGGATTAAGATGGTTTAGTTGAAGCTCTATAGATTCACGTTTACTTTTCGACTGGATATGACCGTGTAGACTTGTACGCCGGGTATAGCAATAGTGAATGTAATGGACGAATCAACTGTGATATGCTTGGATACTGTTGTTCGTCCTTAGTACCTTTCGCTTCACAGAGCCACGTATATATCACAAGAGAAAAAAATGGCCTGTAATTCTTAATACTGCATCACTGTATGATATTTACAAAAATAAACTTATCTAATGTGGAATTACTTTGGTGATACTTCAGTCCAAAGCTGAGAGGTATTTTTATTGTCACACATCAGAGAAAGGTAATAGTTTCATGAATATGTGTATTCTATGTGCAAAAATCCCCTTTATCATGTGGTTGGTGCATTCAAAGTCGTTTGTCTGTCGGTACTTACTGGTGCTTAACGTTTAACTTCGTCCTGGTTAGCATTATTGTTTTAAATTTTATTTTATTCCTTTACATTCAGAGTGGAACACATTGCTTTGAGTTAGAGCTTTGAAGTTTCGGTAGCAGTGGTTTTTCTTTTTATGGGGTGGGGTTGCCTAACCTTCCCTCTTTACCGGCTTAACGAGGTTAAGGAGTGCGTCGTCGACTGGGGATTGAAAGCTGGATCAAGTGCGTGGTTGGCGAACGTTCCACCGACGCTCTGATTAGTATGAATAAGCATAATAATATTTTTGAATAATGCAAGGGATCTAATTTTATTAAGTTTCTGAAACAATAACTCCCTATCGTATCAGAATATAGTTTGTCTGTGACTGACTGTTTAGAAAATCATTCTTCACGCTTAACACTAAACAATAGTCTGCTGTACGAAGTTAACTCTGTCGCAAAGTAACTCGAACTGACACACACCCCTACACACATTATTCTGTGCGGAATTCCCTGTTAAAGCTTGTTATGCGGGTAACACCCATTTACACACAACGAAATGGGTTATATTTTCGTTTTAATTGAAGCCTGTGAATTAACATTTTCAACATATCTAAATAATTACACTGAATGGTATTTAAATTTGATTATTTTTAGCTGGAGAGGAACCTTTTAGACGATATAAATTCTCCATGAAAATATTATGGTTTATTCTTAAGCTGTACTATGAATGTCGACATTTTCGTATTAGTATTAATATTAGCATTATTGTTATTATATGCCTCAGCAGTAGTACATCTCCATTGCACTTGGTTCTGTGTGTTATCACTTTCAGTTAGCTGCATTACTGCTCACGAGGTTTTTTCGATATCACCCTGTCAGATGCGTAGTAGCTTGTCATTTCCCATTCGGATTCTCTCACTCAAGTATCTGGATGGCTTCCGCCGTCATTTGTACGTCACCCCGGCTAATATATAAGTAGGGGGATATTTTCGGACAATCCACAAACAAATCAATATCATAGACAAAATGCCAAAAGCTTAGTTAGTGGAATCACTCACAACCGATAGTATTCATAGTGTAGATTTAATAACATTGGTAGTTCTCTGTCTGTCTTGGTTAGCTAACTGTTTACTTCATGTGAATATAGTCTGTGTATGCCGCTTGAGTTTTCTTAAAAACCATGATTAATATTCATTGTGCCAGTTTTCACTGGTCTTGCGCATAACGACTGCACTTGACTCACCGCATAAATTTTGTTCTTATCAGTTTATTCATGCGCCCACCTTTCGTATTCTTGTTAGTGTAGTGTCTTTCAACTTGTTATTTTTTTTCTTATTATCAAACTTATTCAGAATTCGTGAAGATGCTAAGCGTCGTGAACGTGTATGGGCAACATTACAGGAAACTGCTAAAGGCAATCCATTATACGCTGTTGTAATGAAAGAGGCAGTTAGTCCAGATCAACAACAACCATCCAATTCTACAACAACACCGATGACAACAACGACATCATCACCCTCATCATCTCCTGCTGCTATGGGTGATTATTGTGTAAATAACGGAACTCCATCGTGCAGCAGTAATGCTGTGGACAATGATGATAGCCAAACTGGTCAAGATGAAGATGTAAGCAGTTCTCTGAAGAATCTTCAGCGTGAAGCCGAGGATAATGTAAGCAATTGTAATTAGTTTATTGCTTTGTCCTTTTTCTACCTTATTTTGTTGGGTAATTATGCTTTCTTGTTGTTGTTCTTTTAATGATTTTTTCCCCAATCATTCTACTTTTTTCTCCATATTATATTGTGCTTTGTGTTCGTGTTGTGCATTTCTTATTGTCTATTTTATAACTGATTTGAGGAATCAAAGTTACTACCGTAAAGTTTACCGTAATATCATTGGTGGACATTGAATTCCACGAAATAGAGTTCCCCATTGGCTCTTGTTGTAGGTAATAGGACATTAAAATTCGTTTTCGGACATTAGAACAAGGATGACTTACACATTCATCTGTTGGTGGAAATCCGAAAATTTTTTAGTAATTCATTGATGGTCGTCCGTTATAAGAACCTGTTCGCCAGAGAATGATCAGATTGATCTGTCATGCTGCATTGACTCAACGATCAGTTAGTCACTTCACCGTAATCAATAGGTACCTTAAACAGTACTGAATAATTAATGTGAGGTGCTATTTATTATTGAATAAAAGAGAAAAATTCTATGCAATTAAGAACACACGAGTCTTCTTTATTTCATTCATCTCTTTTCTACTTTGCTTCATAATTGTGTCTTCATTTCCTTTCGTTTTCAATTTGCTAATCTATTGCTTCGTTCTATTCACAATTCTTGTAGAAGACGCACACACACTGTCTATTACTTATAAATTATTGTCAGTAGTATGTACGTGCGTCGGTGACATAGCGGTTAGGACGCTCGCCGATCATGCACATGGTCCGGGGTTCGATCCCCGGCCGACGCACTTCTTTACCTCGCTAAGCCAGAAATAATGCTGGCGAAGAGGAGAGGTTGGGCATGAGGCTAGCAACCTCATCCTGTAAAATAAACACTGCTACAGAAACTTCAAGCCACTAGCTTGAGGCCCTATGTTCCACTGGGGAACGTTAAGGGAAAAAAAAGTAGTATGTACCGTAATACTACAGGGGGATTGGAATAACTCCAAGGTGGATATCATTACAAAGAGAAGCATTGAAAAGAAGTGGGTTACTAATGGATAGTAGATTGGATAATGTGACAAACAGCGGGCAATGAGGAAACAGGCATAAAATGGACTCACACAAAAAGAGAACTTGGAGGATCTGGACTTCGCCGATGATATATGTCTGATTTCCCACAAACTGGAAGATATGCAAGTGAAAAGCAACAAGTTAGCAGAAGAAGCATCAAAGATAGCACTTCAGGTGAACATAGATAAAACAGAGGTGATGAAGATTCCTGGGCAACACCACCAACAGCAACAACAACAACAACAGCTGACAACAATCAGCATAAATGGAAGGAACCTGAAAGAAACAACCTTTTTTAACCTACCTGGGAAGCATCGTTTCAACTACAGGCGGATGGAACTGACGAGCATATCAAAGCAAGAATCGGAAAAGCGAGACAAGCTTTCACTACTCTCAAGTCTGTGTGGAGGTCAACAGCACTGAGCATCAAAAATAAGATCGGGATTTCCAACTCCAATGTGAAGTCAGTCAGTGCTACTATACGGATCAGAGACTTGCACTGCGCGTCATAAAGAGCATCTCAAACAAACTACAGACCTTCATTAACAGTTGTCTTCGCTCAATACTCAAGATCAGATGGCCAGAAAAGATCAGAATTAGTGAAGGATCTCTGGGAGCGAACCAACCAGGAACCGATTGTGAAACAAATAGGCAGGAAGAAATGGAGATGGATTGGCCATACTCTGAGGAAACCATCAAGTGACATCCCTAGACAAGCCATTGCTCGAGTGGAACCCGATCGAAAGGGAAGCGGCGAGTTGGTCGTCAGTGCAAGGGTGACTTGGAGGAGGTCATGTGAAGAGGAGATGAAAGCGTGTGGGCAGACTTGGAGCCAGGTAAAGACTCTAGCAGAGAACCGAACGCAATGGAGACGCATGGCTGAAGCCCTATGTTCCTCTAGGAATTAAAGGAAACAATAATAATAATAAATACTAATGGACAGCTGTTTTGTTGTAGTTTGAGTCTCTTCAGTGACACACAACTATGATCTACCTCCCCCGCCCTACAACAGAGATCCCCACCTAGGGCTCAGACTTGTCGGTTAATTACTCATCCAATGATCAATGAAGAGTTATAACCTCTGCGAATTTGCAAAGATTTCCTTAATCGATGAAACAGTCTTCATAACCTGTTATCGACAAATAGGGTGCAGGGACAAACATCTTTCAGCTGACTTATGTGTTTTAAATAACTTGAAATGAGAATTTTTTCATAGTACTTGGAAAAATTCCACTTGTATATTCTCAAATTGGATATGCTTTTTGTTTTGTTTCAGCCGGGAATTCGTGGCATAATCAATGATAGACGTCGTGATAAGCTGTCAATGATTCAACGAAAATCTGAACTTCCGCATAGTCAGAGTACTCTTCGTGCTCTTGAACAACATCGTCGTCCTGATGAATATTTAAAAACTCAACCGGACAGTTAGAATCATTCATGTAATAAGCGACAACAACAATGATGATGAAATCAATCAATCAATCACAGGAATGAGAATAAAAAGGAACAGGCACATAAAAAAAGGGGCTATGTGTTTTTTCTCCATAGTAATTCGCTTTAATATCATCCCGGTCTCTTCGGTGTTAACAACACACACACATTCACATGTGCATATGCATATATATACACACATCCGCATTATAATAATATTAATAATTATTATTATTACTAATATACTATATGTTTTAAAGATTTAGTTTCTGAAGCGTATATAATAATAATAATAAGTAATTAAAAACATTCTATTGCTGGTAGTGTATCTCTGTTATCACAAACACACACTCTCTCTCGCTGTCTCACTCACACTAGAGAAATCAGTTCTCCTTGTTGGTTCACGTTCTCTTCTCTGATCCTCAACCTGTTTCCTCCCGCCCACGCCACCCTCTTCCACCCTGCTTCTCTTCATTTCGGAAATTAATCAAAATCTCACTTTCCATCAATATCTTTTTTCCCCACAGTTTAACAGGTTTTCTCTTGTTTATTTCTTTCTGTGGATGTCTTGTTGTTTAGTATATTTAGACATTGGTGTGTTTGTAAAAACAACGTCAAAAAATTTTCTCCGCTTGTCTGTTTTCCTGCTTGCTGACTCACACATGACACTTGTGTACACAATGGTTGTTCTTATTTGTGTGTGTGTTTCATTTGTTGTATATCGATTACACATCTTGATGATGCTGATGATGCTAATGATTGGCAATATTCATAGGTCAACTGTATTTTCGATGTTGTAAAAATACTACTACTAATAATAATAACCATAACAACTTGAATATTGAGCAGACTAGTTCGTAGCTGAAATCATCATTCTTAGGGTTTTTCTCGTTATCATTTACACACACACACCTATATACTACTCACAGACTAATTAATCATCAGTAGTACTTTTAGAGTTGTTTTTTTTGTCTTTAGTATCTCTCTAAATGTTCATCGTTTTCTTTTCCTCCTGTTCAGTGTGTAAATGTGTGGGTGTGTTTGTGCGCGCGCGTGTTCGTGAATCCCTCGGTTATTGTATTGTGTGTGTGTCTGTGTGTGGGCGTGTCGGGGGGGTATTTTGATTACTACTACGACATTTATATTAATGTATACATCTACTATACACATCTTTATCAGTAGGAGTGCTCTTTTACAAGGATAATATTACAGCCCCACCCCACCCCCAAAACTCTTTGAGCAATATACAGTATGAAATATGTGAAAGAAGTTTTTCCAAAAATTTGATTTCCCATTTTGTTGTTGTTGTTTTCTTCTCCTCTTCTCCGATTTGTCTGTCATTTGACAGAACATGGATAGATAGATAGACAGACACACTTACAACGTAGACATTCTTTGCATATTGTTACAAAATCAAAGTTAGACACATTTGGAAGCTAGTCACATGTGGCAAATTTTCATTGCTTTTTGATCCTTTTTGATCTATCCTTTCTTTCCTCGTGATTGATTGATTGATTGATAATTTCCCGTGTGTGTGTGTGTGTGTATGTGTATGACAACACTCTGTAACACTCCTTTTATTATTGCTAATATTTTGTTCTCAGGTCTCTAGTTCCTTCGTTCCTGATATCTGTGTGTCTGGTTTGTGTGTGTGTGTGTGTGTTACAGTACACCTGCTTCTTTGACAGCAGAGATATGTGATCTCTTTTTTCATCTTTGATCTGCCATGTTTTACTCCCTCTCCCTCTTTCTCTCTGGGCGCATAGTTTATCTTTTTTTAATGTAGCATTTTCTTCATGTATGTATGTATGTATGTGTAGGAGTTTCTCCTGTTCTCTTTCTTTGTTCGATATCGTTTCTTTCTTCTGTGGTGGAATACCATTTCTCACTCTTTTTTTCACCTTCCTCGTGTTTATTGTCATGATTATTGTGTTCTACAGTGTTTGTGTGTGTGTGCGTGAATGTACACATTTACTTTCCCTTTTTTCTTTCAATTCCTTCGTCTTCTTCCTCTTCATTCCTACTTTCCAGTGAGAAATATTCATTCACCACCTCATATACATGTGTGTATTAATCATTTGTATTCAAAAATAAACGAAATATAAATACATCTATATATATATATATATATATATATATATATATATCTGCATCTATTTCCATTTATTTATCTCTTAGTGAACTCCGATATACCAGAAGGGAGACAAGTCTTCTTGTATTAATCACAGAGGGATTAGCTTGACTAATATAGTATCTAAAATCCTAGGCTCAATAATATTGCGTAGACTAAGTGGTGATCGGGAGATACAAACACGAGAAAACCAGGCAGGTTTTAGGACAGGAACAGGGTGTATTGATCATATCTTCACCCTTCGACAGATAACAGAACATAGGCATTCCTATCGGCGTCCGACAATCATTATATTTCTTGTCCTAAAAGCGGAATTCGATTCTGTCGACCGAGAGGTTCTCTGGCGATGCTTGGCTGTAAAGGGAATGCTGAGAAAATACATTGCACTGATTAAGGCAATCTACTCGTAATCATGCAGCTAGGTGAGGGCTTATGGCGAGTTGTCATCTGAAGTGGTGACGACTAGTGGCGTCCGTCAAGGATGCCCATTTTTATTCAATTTCATCATAGATATACTAATGGATTTAACCCTAACACACTTCAGAGACTCAGGGATTGACTTGCTACCAGGGAATAATCTCGTCGACTTAGAATATGCGGACGATATAGCCCTTCCAGGCGAGGACGCTGACAAAATGCAGAGTATTCTTAACATCTTGAGCTGCAATCTTCGTATGTTTGGCATGCGATTCACCCCTGTTAAATGTAAGATGATGTTGCTGGATTGGACTACACTGACCCCTAGATTAGAAATAGGAAGTGAAGTGGTAGAGCACGTTGACCGCTTCACTTACTTGGGAAGTACCATCAGCCCCAACAGGTTGATCTCCGACGAAATCTCAACACGAATGCAGAGGGCTAGTTTCACAAATGCCAGTTTACGCCGTCTCTGGCTTATTAGACGTGATATCCGGTTATCGACCAAAGGGCGTGTGTACTACTCATCAGTCCGCTCCGTCCTCCTTTATGGCTGTGAGACCTGGCTATTGAGAGTGGAAGACATGAAAAGATTAGCTATCTTCGATCATAGATGCCTGCGTTCTATCTCCCGTGTGAAGTGGTATACTAAGGTGAGCAATATTGAGGTTAGGCATCGGTCGAGTGCTAGGTAAGGAGGGAAAATCAGTCTACGAGACTGTGAAATTACTTCGACTGAGATGGTTAGGACATGTGTTACATATGCCTAGTCATCGCCTTCCTCGACGGATGGGAGATGTTAGATGACATAGGGCCAGGCTGGAAAAGAGCTAGCGGCGGTCAAACCACAACATAACTTCATCAGTCAATGAAATCCACAACAGTTCGTTTGAGCTACGTAAGAAGATGTAGAATTCCTGGTTGGGGTCCTCCGGACAGTAAAACTCAATGGCTGGAAACAATTTGTGATGTGGCTCAAAATCATTCTCAGTGGCTGGCGCAGATGCATCCACTCCTTGTGACTTATGATTTCCAATGAAACTGTTTTGTTCTTCGTTATTACTATTCCTTTGTCTCGCACCTCTGTTTAATGTCTATATTATGCATTTCTTCTCTTTCTTTGTGTGCTGAGTGAAGTGTGACGACTTGAACTGCCGCACATATGTGCAGTGTCGGTCGAAAACCGACCGACCGACTTAGTGAACTCAGACTAAGAAGCCACAGAATACTTTTTAGGATTAAGTTGGAGGCAGCATTTAGAGGTGGTGATGAAATGCGTGTATAGGTTGGTTCAAGTTACCGCCTTGAAAGAGTCGTCAGGATGCTAAGAATCAATGGGGTGCAGATTTTCTGTTCGATGTGGTTGTTAAAACCACATCACTAACCCCAGTCTTCATTTGACTGTTCTCACTCCTATGCATCTTTGTCCAATGTAGCTTCATTATATTTTGTCTACTTGGGTTTTATGTATTATTTTCCAAAGTGTGTGGCAGTTTGATTTGATATACTTTTCATACGAAGTTCTACAATGTCTTATCAGTTAGTCGGTGACTAAACAATATATGCCTGTCGCGCATTGGTTGTTCTTGGAGATGCCAACAAGATTCGGATTTTCAAGACCAGTGTCAAGTCAGCCTGTACCTTTATATGGGTTAGAGACTTGGTGCATCACAAGAAGCGTTTCCAACACCCAGCTGCAGGTTTTTAACAACAGCTGCTTTCGCTGACTCCATATTGAATAACAAAGGGCCAGAAAGAATTAGCAACACGAAACTGTTGCCAAATAAATATTCCGAAGCCACACGCTGAGAGGACCAACGGGTGGTAATCACGCTCAGTGCTGTCCATCGGTCGAGTAGAAATCGAACGGGAAACGACGAATGGCTTGTCCGATGATGATATGGAGGAGATCAGAGACTACGGGCAACCGTGGGTCCAGCTATAGAGTACCACAGAGAACGGGACGAAGTGGGAATGTGCTGTTGAAGCCCACTCGTAAACAGGGGAACAATAATTTCCTGGCAGCGTTTCCATCGAAAAGGATTAGGCCACCTGTGTACATGTTATCAGTAAGCTTCTCCTGTTGATGTCTTCGTCAATGATACTCACCCTCATGAATACCTGTGACCTTGAACTTGCTTAGAGATAAAAATCTGATCAATTTTCTCCTGTCAGTGTTGAAGACCTGCTGAGTCTTCTGGAGTTTATTTCCCCTCAGCCCCATTAAATGTTCTCATGTTATAAATCCTGGATACTAAATTTCAGTCATCATTGGAAGATTCATTTACCTTCCTATGCATAAGAATGAATAATGATCTACACCTATCGTGCATTCTCACACTAGCAGTGGAATTCAGTGTACGCATTTCGTCCTGTTTGGGACTCGTCATCTTGATATACCTGCATTCCCCACTGAGAGTGCTTGTGTTCCTAATTAGGCTTGAACTGACCTATATTTTCAAACGTCGTCAAAGCTTTATCCACTAGATCACTGGGGCTGCGAGAGCCACCACCTCTTGTGCACGTCGCATCAGTAATTATTTAATTCAATTGGACGGAACACTTCGGGCCAGTCAGTCAGTCAACGGGAAAGTCCAAATTGAAGTCAACACTAATTATTACATTAGTTAATCTAGTTGATAATTCACCACAGTTAAAGTCAAACAACCAGGTCCTGTTTTTTTAAGCTGGAATCTCTTTTCCATGCCATCCGTCTGGGGTTTCCTAATTGGAATGAAACTTATGCCACTGTACTAATGAAGTGAGACAAAATTTCGGGACATCTATTCAAAGGATCCATAAACCAAAAGGAGTGGTTCAATTTGCTTTGAATAAATTAGTAATAGAATCCACAAATCCCGACCGATAGCTGCTACCTTGACGTGGTGGTCGGGCTTGCATATCGCAATGACCCAACAAGCTACACTAGTTGGAACTTATGTTCCTGTAGGTCCTACCATGCCAGAAAGGTTGTTTGGATAGCGGTTAGACAAAATGCAGCTACCCAATCTAATACTATGACTCAAACAAACTCACAAAATATCATACCGGATCGGTCGGGGCTCGGATTAACCACGACCGCACTTCCTGCTGCTGTGTCACAGGGCAGAAGTGATAAATATGCTACTGAGACACACCAAACAAGAAAGAAGAATCCACAAACATTGGTATCCTACCTATCACAAGTTTTATTTTCATGCAGTTTGTTTTTTTGAACTGAAATAAGCATAACTGATGTTTTGTTTACCAATCTGAGTCATACTTATTGTGTCAGGACTGACAATAGGTATTCAAGTGCTCAGACTGAATTAGATGGACGCAATGACTGTGAGTGAGGTCAACTACATAGGTAAGTCAAACTAGTAGATCAGGTGTAGTGAGATTATCAGAACATAAGAATTTAACTAAGGTTAGAATGATTGATCTCACGAAGATGAGTAATTTAGAAAAAAAACTCAGCAATGGCATTGCATGCATTAACACACAATAGGGTGGGTGGGACAGAGTCAAAATTCGAAACAGTAATATTGGTAGGTGGAGAGAGAGACTGATTACTGAATTTTGGTTCATTGAGTCTACACCCAACTCACTCAATAGAAGTGACTCAACACAAATACCAGAGATATGGAAGATATCAGAGGATAATAAACACTGTTAAAATGTATTCAACTCACATTATAACATTATAACAAGTTACATATTTTTATTTCGCATCTTATTGTACTTTATTGACAACACTAATTTTATTTCTAAATGTGCTTTATCTTATATTGATTTTATTGAAATATCTAATCAGTTTTTACTCATGTATATAAATGAAGCAAAGACGTTATGTGAATATCTTGATGTGATTATGAGCAGCAATAATTTGTGCTCAAAACGTGGTCATCAGTTAATATTACTTACTGTATAAGAACACTGTGTGATTTTATCAAAATAAAATTTTCCCCATAATGTAGTTGTACTCTACCACAGTGCCCAAGTTTTATCCTTATGTCAGTAATACAGGTAGATCACTACTGGAGCAATCGTTTGATGAAAGCCTAGTGCTTAGTACCATTGAGTCATACCCTCATGCTAAAATTTGATAAATAACTGTCTTCTTGCTGATGAGACTCCTTGAAAATGACTCACATTTTCTCCTGTTATCTCGTTTATGTCGAAATAATAATAATAATCTGCTTTATTCCAAAACAGTAGTACTTATGATAAGTTTAGAATTCTCAGCATTTCATACAACAGTGAATCTAATGTACTCGACAACAGCAAAACACAAATAATATTACAGGATTGATAATAGCAGCTTACCAATTATTGGTTTGTAGTAATTTTCATTGGTTGGTTACAGGATTTCATCATGATCTGACATCGATTAGAGAACCATTGGAAAACCTGGGAGTACCGGACAGCTGTTTCGTCAGCCTAGTTTGGGACTCTTCCAATGGTTCTCTAACCGATGTCAGCTCATGATGAAATCCTGTAACCAATCTATCAAAATCCCTACAAACCAATATTTGAAAGTCAATAAGATGCTCACTAGCGACTGGATCTATTCAGGTAGGTAATTACCTGGGGTTCTAGAGGGATGTCGTGACCAATAGGGTGCAGCAGATCGGGTGTGAGGAC